GGAAAAATTTCAAGTTCGCTGCATTTTATGTTATGGTTAGAACGTCGACGGCTCTGTCATACCCCAAATTATGACCACTCGGACACAATTTACTGGCACTGTGCCAAGGACGCTGACGTAGCCCTTGTGCCTGACAGTTCATTGGAATTTTCATTAGTGTTACAAGTGTGCCGCCATTGAGACGGCAATGACGGCCAACGCTGCCAACCGACGCGACGCGACGCAGACTGTGGTGACCTTTCATGAAATCCAACGGACACACGCACCTAACAGCAGCAGCCGAAGCCGACGGACCGTCCTCTTCATACTGCTGTCAGATTTCTCAAGTAGCCATTGCATATTTGCTCAAGCAGAAGGTTGACTTGAGGCCGAGCCGAATAATTATTGAAAAAATTCGATACTTTACAATTATTACCAATAAAAAACAAAGCGATTTTCGAACAGCTCTTTAAAGGAATAAAAAAATTTTTAATTTCTCTTTTTATGCATTTTTCTTCGAAACGATTTTCAATTCATTTTATGGAAAACGCTTTATTTACTATTAAACCTATTAAGCCTATTAAACCTTGGGCTGTCTAAACGAAGAGTAGCTCGCAAGTGAAGGTCTTCAGATTAGTTTGTTTTGCTGATGGGCTGTCAGACAAAGGAGGCTTTAAAGCTTTGTTTGCTTGTCAACTGAACGGCTTTAAGCACATTTTTGTAGATTTAAGTGCGAGCTCATTGAACATTTGCATAATCGATTTAGCAAAATTTCGACATGAATTCCATCATTTATTTATGAGACATTTCACATTTTATGTGATTGTTTAAAAAGTAGAGTAAAGAGAAAATTGTTTGACATATTATGAACATTTTGCCAAATTTGAAACAGTTTGTGGCATCAACTCTTGGCCACTCAGCCCCACCCCACTGTGACTCTGGCGGTAATGGTTGAAACATTTTAAGTGCCTCACTGCTTGCCTGCCACACACACGCAACTTGGTCAAACATTGTTGCATTGTCGATAGTTGTTGCTGTTGCTGTTGCTGTTGCTGTTATCGTTATTGTTGCTGTGGTAATTGCACTTGCGTTGCTTTATGAGCGGCACAGTCGTAAAACATTATGTACATCATGTTGATACTTAAATGTGTCCTGCTTCCTGATGAGGGCCCGATTTTTGACTACCAGCTCGAACAATTTAGTGCTTAATGCTTGGGCTTTGCATGCTGTGTTCATGCTCTGTCTCGCTCTCGCTCTCTCTGTCTATCTCTCTCTCTCTCTCTGTGTTTGTTTTTGATTTAAGCTATGCAACTGATTTTAGAAATTGTTTTGAATTGCATCGCTTGTTAGTCAAGCTTTCGGTAGTTAGTTTTGTGTTTCGTTCAAGTGGAAAACAAAAGGCACATGCGGCATACAGGTTGTGCACACACACACACACACACACAGTGATATATGAGAGGAAATGTGTAGTTGATGTTTGCCTTTCATTGTTCTAAAACGGCGCCTACTGTTAAAAGTGTAAACTGAACTGAATTGGAATCGCATTTAACGCTTAAAACAATGCAACAAAAATAAATTGTGACGTTTGCTGCGCCCAAGAGTGTGTGTGTGTGTTTGTGTGTATTTTGAATAGGCATGTAACCCACTCATTATTTTTGGGCCCTGAGCTCGGCAGGCCTGTGCGCAAACAATTACTTCTGTGACAAATGGATTTCCTTTTGTTTTATTGAAAACATGTTCAGCCTATGCTCACTCCCTCCCTCTCTCTCTCTCTCTCTCTGGCTCTCCACACATACCACATGTTGGCTGGCAAACTATTTCAATTACAGATGTGCAGCCATGGAGACCACCACAGAACACGGCAGTTTCCAGTTCACCTGCCCACCTTGCCCCACTCACTGCTGCTCGCCTCTTTACACATTTGTATTGCGGCCGCAGCAGGCACAACTTATTCCAATAACAAGCGAATGTCTTGACAAGTGTGAGAGTGTGCGCGCTTGTGTGTGTGTGTGTGTGTGTGTGTCTTTGTTTGTTTGAGCATGTATGCGTGAACTGAGGCATTTGCCTTTGCACCAGTATTGAAATATTTATATGCAAATAAATAGTTTAGCGAGCTCTCTGCTTTGGTTGCGTTGTCGTTCGTAAAACACACGCACCTTCGTACACACATCGTGGAGGGACAAAGCTGGAGAAGGGGGCGTGCCAAAAGCTAAGTCGTAAAACACACGTTTACACACACTATCGGATACAGCGTACAGCACAGAGCTGATATACAGCTCTTTAGGCTGGGGTATTATTATGCGTTAATTGTGTGTGGCCTTTGATTGTTAATCTATTCTACTACGCGCACTAATACCCTGTAAGTAGGGAGAAGTATGGATGAAGACGGGACGGGACTTGGCAGATGCCAAGCTGCACATATATTCTAGCTGAAAACTAGTGTCTGACTTCTGTGTTCCCTATCTGTAGCTGGAACTGAATCTACACCCCGCCCTAAGGTATATCTGGTGCTAGCCGACTGCTTATTATTGTGTCTATGGCTGCTGTACGCACGGCTTTAATGGCGCGCAAGATAAGAAATTGTATAGGTCATGTGTTGTGGGAAAATATTACTTGGTAATTAGATTTAATTAGTTGGCGTTTTAGAAACCTTCTCATGTGCGTGCCTTCTAACTGAATCAGAAAATCAATAAAAGCTTAATGATTCAGCAACCACATTAGTGCAGCTCCGCAAATAACATAAGCAACATAAACGATTTTCTATTTCTGGAATTTTCTCTATTAATTGAATAGCTTGAAGTAAGCTACTTAAATGCCAAGCGTTTCCTCACAACAACGGCCTGAAAGTGGCTAATGTACATCTGTTTGATTAAATTCCATTTATTGAATAAACTTCACTGGAATTCCAAATATTTTGCATGTGCGCAAAGGTAAATTACGACAAAGCCATTCCTTTCCTATATCAAATATTAAATACACTTACTTTGGAGTGTTCTTATATTTTTGAATAATAAAGCTATTCGAATTGCTTTGATTTGCAGCTCAGGTTCTAAAATTTGGCTATTTCTCTTAGCAAAAAAGTTTGGACTAATACTTTCAATTTAGCATAACAAAGCTTACTTTCTTTAAGCATTTAATTAAATGGAAATAAAATGGTCTGCCAGCAACCAACTCTCAATAAAATATTTTTCACTACTAAGAGCAAATATTCAACAAGTTTCCACGAAAAGCCTGCAAGGCCAATGAAAACTAAGTTTACATACAACTCAAATATATATGTTTTAGTAATAATAAAATACATTTTGCATTTAGGAAATCAATAAGCAAAAATAATTTTAAGCTTTTTAGCTTTTTAAAAGTTGTCAATTTTAAATTAAAAATTTATTTTCTTCTTTAATTCTTAACCGTGTTAACATGAGATAACTATTATTTATATATATATATATATATATATTTTTTTTTATTTTTTTTTATTACGCAGATAGTTATTTTAGTGCCACTGCTGAGTAGAAAATTTATTCGAGTCATGCAACACTGGTCAACTTGCTCAAAGAAGATTCACAGAGGATGACAGAAATGAACAAGTTTATTTACTTTAAATATCCAACTGACGTATGAATCTTTAATATTTATTTTAGGTTTTTATCTTATTTTGCAAAGTTCGCAAATCCTTAATAATATTTTATTTAACAATCACAAATCTGGATTTTGTATCGAATTAAATAATGAATTTGTAATAATGCATTTAACTGGCTTTTAGTCACATGAATCGCGCACAGGAAAAACCATTTAGCCGAATAATATTGTGTAAAATTTGCATTCGCATCTGAGGTAAATATGGGCTATGTGCGCATACATAAATATTTCGCATGAACATAGTTATTCTGTTGACTTTCATTACCTTGCGCAAATAGAGAGAAAGTCATTAAAAATTTTAATGAAGAAACTTTTTTCTTTTGTTTCCGGCTTCGTCATCGTCATCATCGTCATCATCTTCAACGGCGTTGTCATTGTCGCCATCGCTTTAATTTTCTATTTAAATTTTGTTTTGTCTGTAGCTTTTCGCTACATGCTCGCATATTGTTAATAACAATCAAGGCAAACCAAGCCGAGCCAAGCCAAGCCAAGCGAAGCCAAGGCAATTCAAGCTAAGCAGTCTCTACAGACTACTGTCGCGAGCCCTGGTGCTGCTCGTCGCTTCTTGCCTGGCGCCTTGTTTATGATTTATTAGAACGATAAAATGATTAAATTAAAATTGATTTAAATAATAAGGAAGTGAGGCAGCGCTGGCAAACAGCACGCAGATGCTGCAAGCGACAACTAGCAGCACTTCACCTGACAGCCAACGGAGGCACCAGAGGCGGCGTCCGGTTCTTGCTTTCGAGCCGCGATAGCTTGTCTGCTATTTGAAAGAAATTTATTTCTGTCAATGCCAAAAGTTAGCCCAGGGCCAGGGCGCAACGTTTGCTTGGCTGGCGCCCCGGTCAACACCAAGAGTGAAAACTTACTAATTTATGCTAAATAGTCAACAAGGCAGGCGTCTAGAGCCATTGCCGTCGTACGACATGGCGTATGATTAACCTAAATGTTATACTTGTCGTAGACCTGACGTCTGTCCGGTTGCCCAACGTCGTTTTACATTTCAAATGGAAAAACTACAAAATAAAAAAATCGCTAAAGGCATTTGTTTGCTTTTCTTTTTTCCTGGAAAAAAGGCCCTCGGTCCCATTGCGTCCTCGTTGTTTGTTTGTTTGTTTATTTGGCCCATTCAAAAGGCCAACTAATTTGCTGAGCAATAACACTGGCCCCAAACAGCAGGCCATATTTCGTTAACTTTCTGCAAACTATTTCCCAAATTAATACAGCTTAATTTGCAAAGGCAGGCCACCAACATGTTTCCTAATTAATGGCGTCGATTTCTAAAAAAAGCTCGATCGAGCTAGCTAACTATAGCTAGGTAAGCTGCTTTCGAAACATGCTGAAAAATAAGCCAATATTCATTTCACACACTTATAGCTCACCTCTTGAGTAAGCTGCGGCTTCACTGTCGTGGGTGTCTCAGGGGCTGCACAGCTGCAGCTCCTGTTCGCGTTCCCGTCGAATGCAATTTCTCGTTTCACTGCCTGCAGCTTGTTGATGTTGTTGTGGTTGTATCTGTTGCTGTTGCTGTTGCTGCTGTTGTGCCTGTTGTTGGTTTCGTTGGTATTTTCGGGTAATTTTTCTTATATATTGCTTGGCATCCTGTCGCCTGGTGCTCGTGTGGTGCTATTTACTCGCGTTGCGCTCCAAATTGAATTTCACTTGGCTAATATATTAGCATGATTAATCGCTTAACGAAGCAGTCTCTGTTCCGCGGTGTCCTCTGCACAGAATCCACACGGGATGAGCATTAAGTGAAATATAATTAACTTGTTTCTTTTAAGTAGTTTGCAATGAGTTTTTTTTAATTGCTCTCTTAATTGGTTTAAAACTTTTTGAATTATTCAATTATTTAGAGAGTTTTTTAATCAGATCCAAACGTATATGTATACATACTAACTAAAACTTCTATACTTATAAGAAATAGTGTTAAGAGAACTGTTGAGGTAAAGTAACTCGAAAATTCCAAAATTCATTTAGCAAATCATTGTTTTAATAAATATATTGTATTTAAAAAAAAAAACAATAAAATCTTAACTATCATATAATCTTACGGGCTAAATGATTCTAATGATGTTGTTTACCTTGAGTTTTATTTTGTATAATTCGTAAGCTCTTCCTCTTTTGTGAAATATTTTGTTTTATTAAATAAATATATTAAACAACACAAAAAAACAAAAATATTTGTTGTTAGCTTTTTAAAAATATTTAAAATTTAATTTAATTTTATTTAATTGACACTTTTTTCACAAAATAAATATATTTAATTAACTGCTGTCTAATTAAGTGTAGCGAACTTTGTTTTATTAGTTTTGTTTGTTCATTGCGCTGAGGCGAAGACGTTCACAAATATTTGGCAATCGCGTTCGAATGAGCAATGCGTTCCGAACGTCACTGATGTAACTAACGCGAGGGAATAACTTCAAAAACAACGCGAAACTTGGCAAGCGGCAGCAGCGGCGACGACAGGACGTGCCACGACAACGACTAACGGTGCCGACAGCAGCGTAGCCAACGACAAACAGCGACGGTGTTCGGCTTCGTGCTTGGCACTGAATGACGAGCCCAAACACTTGCTGGCATTTAAGAACCTCAAATCGTGGCGCGCAACCAAACACGAGGACGATGATGGCCGTTCAGCTTGCAAGAAGCTACCATTGCCCAGCTCGTGCGGCACTCACACACACATATACATATACACACACATATTCATTGCAGCGGCCCACTGTTCGATTTGGTTAGCACACTTTTGTGCGCTGCGCTCGGCTCCAGCGCGCGCGCCGGCATAGCATACAGCTGACGAATTGGCGCCAAAACCGAACTAGGCAATGCGCAGTCGTGAAACTGTTATACACTTGATGCAGCCGATGCGTAGCACAGTTGACTCCAGGTCCGTTTCAGCGCTGCACTGAGCTTTCTACTACAAATATAACATGATAAGGAAATTAACTAAATTAATTAAAAATTGTTAAAAAACCACTGGAAAATTTATATTTTATTTAATTAATATTTAGAAAATAACAAACATCTAGCTAAATAAAAATTGTGTATTAAACAAAACTTAAGCAAGCAATTCTCAAATATTTCTATATTTCATATTAATCCAGAGTCTGGTTTAAGACAGAAAATTTGTCCACTACAATGATTGAAAGCTATTAATCAGAAGCCAATTTCAGTTGATGCGTTATACACTTTTTTTGCGTACCTCAGCAGGCAACAGGTGCTGAGCCAATTTAAGGCAAAACTGTACTGCGTATCTATACATAATGCACTATAGATTGGCAGGCTGGCGGCGATAATCAGTGGAGATTGATTGATGGCTATTATTTTGAAAGACGTTGCTTCAATAGCTGAACTGACACACGTCTCAGCATTAAAGTAATGGAGACTAAATACACGAGGTCTTAACTCAATAAAGGCAACATCATCTCTGAGATAAAGGCGAAAGTATTTACATTTGAAATGCTGCGAATGCCATAGATTGCAATTTGTTAATTTTACGTCAGCTAAGTTTCGACCTGCTTAAATTTACAGCCAACAATGTGACATAAACAAGCGCGCTGAACGCCATTTAAAAAGTTGTTAAACAAAGTTCCAAAATTAAACTCTCGGGTGCTTAAATTGTGCAAATGCCTTTCACACAGACAACAAGGCAACCACCCTCAGCCACCCCCACACACGCTTGAAGTACTGCATCATGTTGACGTGTGTAGCTTAACAGTCGAGTTGTTCTTCTGGCTTCCTCAGCGTTTATTGCATTTTATATGTGTTAATGCCGTTTTCATTATAATGCCCATGTCATGCCAGAGGTGTGAAGAGACCCAAATTAATATACCACTGCGTATCGTCAAAGTAATCAGGCATACGCAAAGCATCTCAGGCAGATGCACCATGCTGTGCAGAGTTGGCAGCTGCTAGCGTTAGAGTCCCTCCTAAGCTTCTTATGATTAGTTTGAATATTGAATAAATGGTTCACAGGACCAATCATATTTAACTGCAATCCGGTAACAGTTTTAGTGCTATTTTTACAAAACTGCATAGGTATTAAAGTTCAATGGGAACCTTCAGTCAACGTCCCTTTTAAGCGTTTGCTTATATAAGTAGCTCGGATAGAGCAACAAATCGATGCGCTTAAACTTTGAACTCGCTGGGAACTGCAGCAGCAGATGAAATAAAGAAATGAAAAATGCAAAGTATGAATGGAAAAACGGAAAAGCTGTATAAAGAATACCAGAACCAAAGCAATGGAACGGATTTAAAATGCATAACATCAATTATAAAAAGTTTTCTTAATTTTGCCAAGTTCATAATTCAAATTGAGGTTCACATGCATGCTAGTAGCTCTTTCAATGGCAAGCTGTAAGGACAAAAGTTGGGAGCTTACGCACACACAAGCGCATTCACATGCACAGACACAGGCACAGACACATTGAAACATGCACACATAGTGTGCGTTTGTTTATTCCTCAATTGCGTATAAACATTTGCATTTGCAAAAGACATGCTAAAAGCATTGCCAGCACTAGGAGCTGTCTTCACAGAATTCGAGTCCTTGCAGCTGCCGTGCCGTACATGGGTGTGAGCTGTGCCTGCCCCTGGCAGCATCTCTGGCTTCGTCTTTATCTTGATGTTGCAACTGGCAACTGGCAACTGGGATCTACCGGGATGCACACACACACACACACACGCAAGCATTTTATATGTAAATTTTACACTTCTTTAGAAAATTATTCAAATTACTTGCAAAAAGTCAGAACGCAGCTGAAATCAATGCAAGCGGAAGTGGGTATAAACAAAATGGCGTCGCTTCTAGCCAGGCGCAGTGCAGCCTTGTCCGCTTTTGCAGCTCATCAGCCAAATTGACGAATCTTTGCTCGAAGTCAACTCAAACATTTGCCAATATGTATTTTAGCCGGCATTTGCCAGGCGGACGAGAATCATCAATCACCTCTTGGCACTTGGCCTCATGGCTGGTAATCCTTTAATATTATTAAATAATTAACAGGCATTTGGTGGCTTGTTTATGATTTTGACACGAACAGAGCACAAAGCACAGACGCTAACAGCAGGAGTATTTATGGAACTCAGCGGGGATTCAGTCATCAAAAGATAAACGCAATTATAGCGTAGTTAGGTGGTCCCATCAGGGCAAGGGGCACGGCATGCGGCAGGACTCCTAGTGCAAATGAAGACAATGCCGCGCGGTGCTAAACATGCAAATTAGCGTGCAAAAGTTTGACACTGACGAGCACCACGAAGGAGTTAAAGTTCCTTTTAAGCCAAATTTGCATATTTAAATGGCTTAAATGCGGGCACTTGGCACACGGTCTGTTGGCAACATGCAGAAGCTCATCTTGTGCCCTGTCAGCGACTTGTTGTCACGTTTCTCTTGGCTCATAAAAGTAAGATTGAATTTTGAGCGGACGGGCGACAAACGCCAACTGAATCTAGGCAGTGGGCGGTATGCAAGGATATAAATATATATACATATATATATATATATATATATATATATATATATATATATATGTTGACTGGGTCTCACGCTGCTGGCTTTGCATGTCTAACCAGAAAGTTTACATGACTGCGGCGCTGTCTACTCTTAATAGGCCAAATGAACTTGAACCTTGGCGCCGATGGAGTCGACAAGCCGCCAGTTGGGGGCTAAATTGTTGCACACGCGTGTGCTGAAAGTTAACCCAAAAGGGAAAGTTTTTGATCCTGTCGCAGCAACCGGAAGTTATTAACGCACGAGCAAGAGCGAATCTGGGCTTTATATGTTAATGTCTTTGCATCTGCCATATCATTGGGCAGGAAATTAAATTGATGCTTGTCTTTCAACATTTTATTTTACTATTTTATATATCATAAAGTTTCACAACTAAAGCGGCAAAGGCTCAAATCTCAGCCAGAGAATTCCCATAAAATCTAAAGTAATTTCTTTGAAATTCAAAGGCAGCCATAAAAATATCTACATTTATTTGCCAATAATAAATTGTATCACTCCATAGCGACCTTGCCTAATCTCCTTTTCCTGCATCTCAAAAAGAATACAATGCAGCTAATGATTCTAAGAACTTGGTAGTTCCCCAGTTGGTCTAGGTCGGCACCCCGTTGACATGACTCACGTTCGGCTGCCAGACTTTATAAGCTACTTGGCTTAAAGTGTTTTTCCTTGTCGAACAGACTTTTGATTTCTGACTAATATTCTTATTGCATTACAAACTCAAATAACAGGCAATACTTGGCCTCGGCTATTATTAGAGATAACAGATAGTCCTTAGCTGTTCATTAGGCTGGCTAAGCTGACTGAGCTGTCTTAGCCGAAAACTCGCATGCCACATCAGACCTCTGCTATTGATCGTATCAATTGACTTGAAGTCAGCCAAATCACAGTCACAGTAAAGTGTTTGCCTCACAAATTTGTAGCATTCCTCGGCGCAGTCAAAAGTATTTGAGAGTTGTGAGCAGAGCAAATAAATCATACTGCCAAAGGCAACTAAACAACAACTCAATCGTCAAGACACTCACGACGAAAACGCGCAATGATAAATCGAAAATATTTTTAGTTGTTTACTCAAAGCAGAGTCGAGCAACTGACGGGGCCGACGGCCCACCGACTGGTGGCAAGAAAATCTGTCACACAGCAGCTCTTCCTGTCCGGCCCCCGATGGAAAGCAAATTGAAATTCTCCAACCACTCGACGTAAACGAGGAAGGAGGCAGTCGCTTAATGAACGTGCAAACAGTCGAACAAACAGGAGATTATGCTGCCGCTGGCCAGAGCCAGTGCGAGCTCCCAGCCAGAATTGTTGGGTAAACATCTTGCGTGTCCTTGTCCACTTGTAGCAGCTCGACCCCATCCCATCCCATCCAATCCAGACGGCGTTCAAGTGTTAATTGTGTGCGTGATTTAAGCTCTGCCCAGCGCAGCGCTCACCAAGCAGCCTACGCTGTCCGCCAAGAATAATTGCTTTTTGATTGAGTTCAATGTACATGGAGCTTTGTCTGGTCTACAAATGGAACTCGAATGCTCAAAAACGCTTGGCTCATCGGCTGCGACGCACTGCGGCAGCTGCCACACAAAATGTACTATCCTCAGGAGCTGCCGCATCCAACGGCACGTCGGCCACTTTATGGGAATTACATCAATAAAACTGTGCCACGTCATCAAAAACTCGCTGGCTGCTGCAAGGATGGCAAGTTTGTTGGACTAATGATACCCTACCTAAAGGAGTACTGTGCCAACTCTTCAGTGCATGGCTTTCGCTATTTGACGGATCCAAAAATGCGGCATTTTGAAAGGTGAGCCTATTCCAACATTTATAACACTAGATACCCTAGATACCCTAGAGAATATAGTGAAAGAGTTAAATATTATAGAGAATTATTGAATGCAGAAGACCAAGTAAATTTGGTGTCTCGAGATGATAAATTTATTTCAAATTTAAATCTACTTCCAGTGAATTAATCAGTCAGTGAATTAATAGTCAACTTTCCATTCTCTAGATTCATTTGGTTTCTGATTTTGGTGGGCACCTGCATTTGTGCCACAATTGTTTACGTTGACCTGACCGAGCTGTACAACTCCGCACGCGTCCACACGACCATTGAAGACAGTATGCAGCCGATATTCTTTGTGCAGTTTCCCTCGGTGGGGCTCTGTCCACGCAGTCGCATCAACTGGCCACGACTGCAGCAAGAGATGCCGGAACAGTTTTTGGGCAGCGATGCCAGCGCAGAGAAGAAGGAGCTGTTCAGAAGCTTTTTTGCTGCTGCGTCTGGGGTGCACTTGAATGATATGCGGAGTCTGGGGGAGTTCTTTGAGAATTCAACGCTGGCCGCAAAGATAAGTCAGTTAGATGGGTTGGATGTGGCAAAGGTACTGGAAACTCTGAATCTGGAGTGCACCGATTTATTTACAAGCTGCCAATGGAGGGGCAAGCCGCATAATTGCTGCGAGATCTTCGAGCTGCAACGCACCGAATTCGGCTTCTGCTGGGTCTTCAATTCGGCAATTAGCGAACAGATGCGACAGCGGGAGGTGAGTGCCTGACTGGCAGTGTTGATCGACAATCCGTCAGCATCTCGTTTACAGAAAGAAGACAAGTACTATCCACGCCGCACGGCCCAATCTGGTCCTGGCACTGGCCTGGAAATATTCATGCGGCTAAACAAAACACTTGCTATGCCTGGCTTACGTGGCATGTACATCATGATTAAGCAGCCTCAGCAATGGAGCGAGGCAGCTCGGCTTGTGCCACATGACTGCCACAATAAAATCAGCATGGTGCCACGGTACACTGGCTCCGACATGCGAACCCGCGTTCTTACTGCAAAAGTCAGACGTTGCATCTTCCCCGATGAGGTTCATGATCCACACTATAAGAATCTGCCGGGCTTTGTTTACTGGCGTGGCAACTGCCGGACCAAATGCCATCAGGAACACGTGATCAATCTGTGCAAATGCTCCCCAACTCTGCTCTTTCCCCGTCATCAGAAAGGTGCGTAGAACCTTGAAGTAATGTTAAATTTGGTGAAATATAGATATTGATCCCATAATAGATAATTTTTCGGAGTGCAAAGCCTCTGATTTCAAGTGCCTGTATGAACACCGATGTAAGTAAATGTTTCATCAAATAATAAATATTTATTTGCCACTCGAAATATTCCTCAAAGTGACTTTCAGCATGGAGCGCCATCCGCTGGAACAGGAGTATGTGGACAACGTGTACAAGGACAGCATGTCGTGTGAATGCCTCAACAGCTGTTCACAGCTCGTCTACGACACCATCTTTAGCAACAGTGCAATGGAGTAAGGCAGCTCAGCTCATAGAGACTCAATCTGGCCATAACCACACTATCTTTTACAGACCGCAAGAGATGGATGCTGGGGCCATTAACATGCATCTGGACATCTTCTTTCAGTCACCCTGGTACATTAAGTATCAGACCCATATGCGCTTCACCTTTGTGGAACTGCTCGGTGAGTTCCTGTCAATGATGACTCAGCGAATGCATCATCTGTCATCTATCTGCTTGAATTTCAGCCAGCTTTGGTGGCATCATTGGTTTGTTTCTGGGCGCCTCGCTGCTCAGTGCAATCGAGCTGATCTACTACGCCACTATTGGCCTATATCTGTATTTATATCGCGACAACAGGAAGTCCAAGCAGCCGCCTCTGGCGCCGCACTCACCCGCTCCCATAACGCTGCACTTCCGACGCAGAATAACACCCAGGAAGATTGTTTATTGATGTGAATGAATAAAATATAGATTTAAGAGATTTAAGAGATGCTTATATAAGATGTATTAGTTTCATACAGAAACTTCTCTGCTTGAGTGTACAATACATAGCAAACACATCTCTCTTTCAATCAGAATAAGGCAAAGATTTCATTTTTAATATCATGCATTTCGATCGAGTATTATTTTATTCGTGAAATGAAACCAAAGTTGCTTTTGATTAATAAATCAGTTTCACCATGTGTTGGTTCTGTGACTTAACGGATGTCGCAGTTTGCTCTTGGACTCTGCCTGCGCAGGCTCTGCCGCTTGGTGGGTGTGAGTCACTTCGTTGCGTAAATAACGCAGTGCCGTGGCCCATTGCCTCTTGAGATTCCTGTGTAGAATGACATAGTAATTGTTATCATAAAGGTGCAGAGCAAATCCCACAGTTAGAAAGTAGATTAGCTCAACTCCACTGACCATAGAAGCGCCCAGAAAGAGACCGAAAATGCCACCAAGATTAGCTAAAATAGGAAAGCATTAGCAAATGTGTAGAAAGTTATATGATTAATGACATACCAATTAGGTCAATGCTGGAAAACTCGAGGCTAGTGCGATACGTTATCATCATATCCACCTGATAGTGCACATCCACCTTGAAGACCTTTAAAGCCGATGACTTGGGCCTAGAGAGCAGAGGAATACAGATTTCAGAATTTTGGCTATAGATTTGTATATATGAGCTGTACAATTCCCTTGAAGACAATGGCAACGTGGTTGTGGATGTGAAGTATTCAAGCAAATTGCAGCCGACCAGACAGGGACAGGTCATGCCCGGCTTATTGGCGATGAAGTAACTATCCTCCTCCAAATGTTTGTCGTAACCGAAAATATCTGCGAGATACATTTCAGTTGATGGCTGATGCTTCGTGTGGCATCGGGAACTCACCATTGTGACGCGAAATGCAGCGCAGACTGGACGCAGTGCAGTTCTTGACTTTGGTTCACAAGACTATCATAAGTAAGTCAGAGAAGCCTTAATAGACAGCCAGCTTACCTTTTCCATTTCTGAGAAAGAAAATTGGTAGTGAGCAATTGCACAGCTTGACCAAGTAGGACTCATGACAGTTGGTGAGGCAGTTGGAGATCAAGGAACTCTTTTTCAGTCGCTTCGCAGCATCGCTGATGCCAAAGTCAACTTGCTCGTCCTTAAAGTGGCAGTTGCGACGCCACGGCGGCACCTTTCGTGTGGTGTCGTCAGTGCGTGTCATCTGAGGTCGGACTGCCACATGGGTTTCCGTGTTGGGCCTTATGGAGTAGACCACGTTAGTCATTTGCGTCGGCTTTTTGATCATGATCTGCAAATTGCTTAATTAAACGGAAATCAAGTTCAATTAACGGCACACTCTATTCACAAAAACATTATCCGTGACCGAAGAATCTGGCCGCTTGAAACTGTCATTCAGCAGTAGGTTGAAGTTGAGACCAGAGCCCTGGCCCGCTTTGGCATTATGTCTAGGATAGAAAGCGGAACCCTCGCGCTCTAAAATCGCTTGGGAGCCGAACGACAGTTCCGAGTTGAATACCAAGCAAAAGCCATGCTCCGTCTTCTCCATCATAAAGTAGTCGCAACAGTTGAACGACGTCTGGCGCCACTTGCAGGAGCCCGGCACCAGAATATCCTCGCAGTGCAGTGCCAGAAAATTTGCTAATGGGGTGAGCGGAATGAAGTCGACAATCTCAAGATTTGTATCCTCCATTTCAGATGTACTAAATTCAAAATTGTCAAATCTCAGCGTCTCCATGTATCTGAGCAGCGTGCCAAATGCTTCAACGATATCTTCGCTAGCATTGGCTGGGAGAAACTGTGCCTTGGCTGCTTCCAGCTTGCTCCAATTGATGCGGTTGTCCGTGCAGACGCCCACCGCCGGGAATTGCACATGGAATACGGGATACTGCGAGTCTTCAATAACTGTCTGTAGCTTCTGCGTTCCATAACGCTCCGCAACCAGCAAATAGAATGAACAGCACAGCGTTACGCTAGTGATGAGTAGCATGCTCCAGATGAGTCTGCAAACTGAGTATATTAATCAAGAAGCCTTTATCGAGCCCACAGCCAGCACCTCTCAACATTATGCAACTGGGCATCGTACAGATAGCGCACACAGTGAATTGTGGATCTCTCGCAGTAGTATCGAAAGTAGTTGCGCACCAGCTTCATGAAGCTCTTGTCCACATCCTTATCCGCTGCGTTGGCAGCGTTTGCTACTTTAACCATTTTGTTACTGTCCGCGCTGACACTTTGCTCCGGCTTTATTTACGCGATTGTCGCAAAAGCTTCGACTGATAATTGCAGTGCTGAAAGTAGACTCTGGCATCCATTAATGCTAACAATTCTAGTAATTGAGTTGTTATGTTTGGATGGGCTTATCAGCCCATTGACTGATATACGGCCATAAAGTTGTGATATTAATATCGGCGCTGCTGTTCATTGATTAACTGCCACGCCCGTCAATCAGTTCATCGAAATGTGCACCGTGATTAAGTTGCCCGCTTGCAATGACGTTAATGATGATGACAAACTGGCGCTAGATAGGCCAAAGGACAGATGCTCCTGGTTCAGACGGTGAGCACTTGACAAACTTTATTAATTATAGCCCTAACTCTCCTGCACTTGCTTCCATCAGCTTGACCCGTATTATAATAATGATTCTTGGCTTTGGGCTGACTATCTACGTCTGCGTATTATCCTCGGAGCGTTACTTCAAATACTGGGTTCAGACCACAATCGACCGAACCGACGTTCACGTCTCGGAGATTGCTTTTCCAGCCATCACCATTTGCCCCACCCACGTAACTCCGATGGCGCACAGCACTCGCAGAGAGCAGCGCCTTAGTATGCTCTATAATCTGGTGCAGAGCTTTCGTTGGCGCATCTCTCCTCCTAACCATTTAAATCAGTTAAACATTAACGAATTCGAAGAATTTCAGAACCAAACATTGCTTAACGTGGATAGCATCTTAGACCTCGGCTACAGCTGCAAGGACTTGTTCTTGGAATGCACGTGGCGCCGTCAGGAAGTGGATTGCTGCAGCTTGCTATTCCGTAAGCTAAAGATCGGCTCCTGCTATGTATTCAACTCGATCATTGCCGAAAATGCCGATCCCACTTGGCCATGGTCTGTAGCCGATGCAGGTTTCAAGAGTGCACTAAACATCAAGGTTCATCGGATTGTACAAGGCATCAGGCTGACGGCCATAGGGGTAAGCATCGATGCCAAAGCCACTTATCTACTGCAAAATACTCATAATCATATCACAAATTGATACCGAAACAATTATTTCATTTCCTGTTTATCGGAACTAACTGGGCGTATTGTATATGATATCAATATGAATGCCAAAAAAAATCAATTTTGCTATCTATAAATCAGTTGTCTCTGTCACTTTCTGAAGCCTAAGGTACTTAGAAATGTTCAGAAAATTGAATTATCAGCTCAGATATAAATTTAAAAAATGTTGATGACTAAGTCTCTATTTAGTTATGCCCTTTCAGGCATATGGAAAGACTCAGATATTTTTAAGTGAGATATGAGATATTATATTACATATAAAACTATATATATATATATATATAAACTATATTTAGAGTTTCGTAAAATGTTAGAAATATTGTAAATAATACCTAATAAGCCGTTCAACTCATGAACCCAAGACTACAAGGAGTAGCGGGTATCTGTTAGCCCACACACACATAACTTTCTCTAATTCTATTCAAAGAAATCCTAATTTATATATTTGTGTTTCTTGAGGTAATCGTGCAAGAGCCGGGTCAGTATGTGGGCTCCAGTGTGACATACTCCACAGACGATCGCATTGTGGTCGGACTGCAGCCGCAGCACTTTACAGCCGACCCAGGTGCTCGGGCACGCCCGGTGAACATGCGTTACTGTTACTTCAGGGACGAGCTGACGCAGTCCTTTTCTGAGTGCATAGTTAGATGCCATCTAAGCTACATAGCGAAGAAGTGTGAGTGTGATCATAAGCTAATTCCATCAACAAACCCTCTGAATGAGAAGCCTCTGCGCCTGTGCACAGTTGCGGATTTGACGTGCATACAGCAGAACGGAGGTAATTATTTAATAGGCACTGTAACTTTTAAATTTTATCAACGCATTTCCGAAGTTTCTCTCTTTTACATGGGCAACATAATTGAGGAGTCCAAAGACAATGTCTTCAATACTACCTACTGCGAATGCTATCCCACCTGTGACCACACTCAGTATCATGCAGCTACGTTCACGGATCGCCTTAGCGGCTCCGACAGCAGAAGCGATCACATTGAAGTCGACGTCTACTTTCAGGAGGAGACCCTTTTCTCGTATCGCTCCACGCTGCACATAACAATGCTTGACTTGATGGGTGAGTTGTTTATGGATTTTCCAGCATTTTCTTTCAGTTTCTGAACGCTTTAATTATTCCACAGTTTCATATGGTGGCATAGCTGGCTTGTTTTTGGGTCTGTCTGTGCTCGGAGCCATAAACTTCGTATTGGATCGCATTATTATCTGCAGCAAACCCACACCCCAACCCATTAAACCTGATCCAGAAAACAAAAAAGTCTTACGTTTTTTTACCTGTAATCAAAACACATGATCCAATAGCCGGCATGAGCAGAACAAAATAAATTGAGAAGAAGAGAAAATGAAACCTTGAACGCATTGTCTTATTACACATTTCTTTAGAGCTGAGAACCTAGCTACCTGCCGTGGAAAATTTCCAAGCGACGCAACTGCAACGACTCTGAGTGCGCATTGTTGATCAAAATTGTCCTCAAGCAAGCACTTGAAGATTGTTTACGTTGCTTAAGCCAGGTACACATAAGTCTGAGCCAACAATAAGATTTCAATCAAAACACTGCCGAGCTCAGCAGGTCACTAGCTGGTGTTGAACCTTGTTTAAGCACATCGATGAGGAGCACTTGCTTTAAATAGAAATATACTCTACAGCAAGAGTAGTTTCTTAACAGCAAAAAGTTCCATTTGCTGTCTATAATAACAAACTCTACTGTACTTTAAGCTTGCTACATCGTATGTATATCTCAGATAATATTATAAATATAAATAAGATAAGATAAGAAATATAAAATCTGTCTAGAAATTATATTTTATGCATTTTCTAATTTAGAAATATCAAATATTCTGCTGAGCTCTTTTTAGTTTTTCCCTAACATTAAAAATTTCCATAATGAATAGAGCTAACAAAAAAGAGAACATTCAAGTCGCTATGCAGTTGGAAAAAGGTTTCCCTCTTCACACTAGGTAGAGGAAAAGGCAACAGGTATAAATAGAGGCGGTGCAGACTGAGCTGTGAACAGTAGAAGTTTGATCGTGGTGGCGCACACTGAAAGGCATCAAGATGAAATACCTCATTGCACTCTGCATGCTGATCAGCTTGGTGAGTAGTTGAGCTACTGTTCACAGATCAATGTTATGGACAATCTGCTGGTTCGCAGGTCTCAGCCGAGTATGTCATCAAGAATAAAGAAAATATGCTGAGCTACCGTGAGGAGTGCGTCAAGGAGCTGAAGGTGCCCGCAGAACTGGTCGAACAGTACCAGAAATGGGTGTATCCCAATGATGCACAGACCCAGTGCTACCTCAAGTGCGTCTTCACCAAGTTCGGGCTGTTCGACATCCAATCTGGCTTCAATGTGGAGAACGTTCATACGCAGCTGAGCCGTGGCAACGCCAACCACGACGATGCGCTGCATGGCCAGATTGCAGTCTGTGTGGATAAGAACGAGCAGGGCTCGAACGCCTGCGAATGGGCTTGGCGTGGCGCCGACTGTCTGCTTAAGAATCATTTGAAGCTGGTGCAGCAGAGCCTGGCACCCGTATCATAATTTATAACTTTAACTTCCGACTGACCAACAATTTTGTAATTTTCATTAATAAAACTTCGATTGCCATATGCAGAGTAAGCTCCAAGCTTTTGGCACTTAGCCACGCCCAGTCACCTTTATTACTAATCAATACACATTAGCATAGGGCTGTCAGCACTTCGTGGGCCACTGCTCAGTTGCCATGTTGCTGTACACTAAGGAACTGGTGGCGCCGCGAGCCAACTTCAGCCAGGGTCTGCAACGCTTCAAGGCGCAGCGCCTGCGGCAAAAGTATGAGAAGATGTTGTATAAAGCGTTTGCCCACTCGACGATACACGGCATTCAGAATGCCTTTGAGGAGCGACACATTTACGCTCGCTACTTTTGGCTCATTGTCGTGTTGCTGGGTATGCTGGGAATGTTGGGCATGTTCTCCGTGTTGAAGCAACAGCACACTGAGCAGCAGCTGGTCAGCGTGGTGGAAACTACACAGTTTCCAGTTTATAATATTGAATTTCCGGCGGTTGCCATTTGCCCCTTCAATCATGTTAACTGGCTGCGCGCCTCGACGGCTCAGCATCGTTTCATGCCCAGAAACGCAGATTCTTATGTACGCGAGTCCTTCCACCAACTACTCGTTCGCATGGAGCAGCTAAACTTTGGTAAGTTTCAAACACTCGGGGGTCTGTCCAAGCGAAATATGACGGCGCTGGCTAACGTGAGCCTCGTCAAGCTGGCCAGTTATTTGGCCTATCGCTGCGATGAGCTCTTCGTGCCGGACTCCTGCTTTTTCGACGAAACTAGATACGAATGCTGTCAGCTGTTTGTATCGGAGCGCACTGAGAAAGGCATTTGCTTGGTGTTCAATTCGCTGATATCCGAAGAGTCGAGCAAAAAGAAGCTGGTCAATGAATTTTATCCCTACAAGCTGAGCACCGCCGGCGAAGGCTCTGGCCTAAAGTTCATGCTGCGCCTCAACGATACCTTTCTGCGTGCTGGCACCCAGGTGCCCTTTTCCATGAATGTAGGTTGCTGGTTGAGCTGATTGAATAATTACTAAACAATATTTGCCTCTCAGCTGATGATCAAGGAGTCTAATGAATGGTCAAACACCATGAACTATCATCTTTACGCAAACACTGAAAACTTTGTGTCCGTAGACCCGCTGGTCATACAAACGTCCAAAAACACTGACATCATGGATCCTGTCAAGCGACGCTGCTACTTCGAGGTGAGTGCACAAAATGACGCCTGCCTATAGAAACGAATAACTAACCTAATTGCAAAAGAACGAGCGGCATCCCGACTACCCGTATAAGAATCTCCCCTACAGTCGCTCCAACTGCATTTTCAGTTGCTTACAGGCTTCCGTTCAATTCTATTGCAATTGCTCCATGCCCCTCTATTTGCCAGTTATAGGTAAGTTGCAGAGAAGTCACTGAAATGAAAACCAATCCCATCTCTCCTCAAGACGATACTCGGGAGTGCAGTGTGCTGGACTTTCCGTGCCTTCATCATCACACGGACGTCTTTGGGTATGTGAAAACCCTTGACCAGGATACGCATATTAAAGATTCACGACGTGGTCAGCTCTGCTCGTGCCCAGACAGCTGCAACGTCCAGTTGTACCAAACGTATCTGAATGTGCGCCACTTGAATTAGTAAGTCAACATACAACATCAGCCCCTTTATCCTCATCCTAGGCCATCTTACACTACAGCTTCAATACGACAAACACCACAATCCCAAAGCGAATTAAAGCCGAGATCTATTATAGCCAGCGGGTGTTGATGAAGATTGAAACTAAACTGAAGTACAGCTTTGTCGATTTGGTCGCAGGCTTTGGCGGCATTTTGGGGCTTTATATGGGTGCCTCGACGCTCAGCTTTATCGAACTGGGCTACATAGTGTCTCAGCTTTTGTCGCTGCTGAAGGATGCGTATGTTAAATTAACCTCAAAGTAATAATCAAAATGCATTTAATGGGTTGAACGATAGTTATTAAAAAATACTTATTTATGAGCGTGCGATTATTTCTGTTTTGTCTCCTGGTCAGTCGGGTAGCGTATATATATAGCCGGATTAGGCACTGCAGCTGGCGTCTCTGAGAATTGATCCAAGTATGAGCACCCAATGGCAAGGGCGCTGCCATCGGCACTAAAGTTAAGTGATGATATGGATGTGTCATATTCGTGGAACTGGCACAGGCGCTTCTTGTTGAAGCCATCCCAAATGTTGACGATGCCATCGGAGCCGCCTGTAGCGAATGTGTGATAAACATTGTGGAAGCTCACCGCATTGACTGGATAGATTTGCTCAATATTATGATCCCGGTTGCGATGGCACTTAAATGCAAACTTTCGACGTTGCACCTCGGGATCGTGGTCGAGGTACTCAACAGCCACACGGCCCTCAATGGAGGACATGACATAACCTTCTTTATTGGGGAATAGGCGTATACAGCGCGTTTGATACTTCAATGAGGATTCGCGTTTCATAACATAACTGTCCGTCTTGCGCAAATCCCAAATTAACACCTTACGATCGGACGTGGCCACCACAATCTTCTCATCAATCACAGACATGGAGTAAACCTTGCCGTTGTTCTGTTCAAAGCAGCCAACCCAGCGCTTTTCGCGCATGTCCCAAAGTTTGACTGTCTTATCCCAGCTGCCGGTCAAGATGCCATTGACATACTCCGCATGCTCCACACAGCGGATGGGATCATCGTGAGCGCCCACCAGAGTTTCAGCTTGTGTATTCACATCGTACATTCGAAGTTGATTGTCCAATCCGCCGCTCACCAGATGTACAATGTTCTGTGACAAGTGTAATGAGTTATGGGTACACACGATATGTATAACAGTGTATTGAACAAACCATGAAGGCACAATCCAAGATAGGCGCATCCTGTACAAAATTTTGGCGCATTGAGTTTGCCGCCACATCGTAGAAGCGAAGCGTTCCATCCCAAGATGATGCTGCCATATACTGGTTGGATTTGGAGCCGAATTTGACAGCCGATATAAGGTCCTCGGGTGGATTGTTTAACTTAAACTCGGAGGGACCCATTTTGTGTGATTAAATTAATATATCAGCAAATAACAAATACTTCGAGCCGATAAAGTCAAGCGGTAATGAAAATTACCAGAAAATATCAATATAAATTCGTACAATGGTCACCCTAGCGTTTATTTCATCGCATGCAACTCTGTTTAGGCTCCGCAACAAAAGTCTGACTGCTGCAAAACTGTAACGAGTATAAATAAAAGAAGTCCGTTAAATTGGAAATGGTTTTAAAATTGACATTTATTTTAAACAAACAATAGGTATCACAACTAAATAGCTTTAACAACTACTCTACTATTTTGGAAGTACATATTTTGGTGGTTGCGTTAAGGATATTAATTGAGCAATTGACAATATTATTTGTCTTTATTCTTACATGGCGGCAAAGGTCCATCATCGGCAGTACTCAACGCAATTGCAAACTGAGCAGCATAATAGGTAATCATGATTTGCAGCCGTGGTGATGGCAGATCTACACTCAAGAACATGGTTACTGCAATCAGCGCATCCGATATGACAAACAACACAGCGCCAAATGCACATAAGATGGCCAGAAGGCTCTTCGCATCCACAGCTCGTGCCAAGGAACGCCAGAGCATAGTTATAATTAGGACACAATAGATGGGTACCCCAATCACGAGTATGTCATCCAAGTATTTGTGCACCAAAACAATAACTGCAAAGCATGTGGAAACAATTAGTTAGTAGAATTATAAAAATTTCATCTTCAATTACTTATACTTACATACTACTACCGGCACATATAGACAGACTCCAATAACCCATTTAAGTGGATGCCAGCCGAAGGCGCTCATATAAAAGATGTGCGCCACGCCAAAGGAGACCATGCCGAAGGGAAAGAGATTAACATTGAGCAAAGCATCGCCGCCACATGAAAACACTAAGCCAAGCAGAATTAATTGTGAACGGCGATATCTAAAAAAGTGAGTTATAATTCATATATAAAGCACTTAATCAAGATAAAATCAAGATAATATAAAGCTTACTGCTTTTTAAGCGAAAATCCTTTGATCAAAACATAAAACATCAATGCCACAATGGGCAAGCACTTGAGCACAGTCGTCCATAGTTCACCCTCTGGATCTTTACGGACCAGCGAAAAATAAAGCACCAAACTAATAAAAAACGGTGCTAGCTTCAGGGCTTGAACTGTGGCCTTAAAGATAAGTAGTCAAACAAAAAATTCAAAACGATTAGCTGTAATCCAAAAATATAGAAAAAGCGATAATATTTGCACAATCGGTAGCATTATTAAAGCTGATTAGATTAATAAGTTAGCAACTTCTGCAAAGAAGCATGCGTGTAATTAATTTGCATAATATACGTCTAAATGAGAAAATAAAACTTTTACTTTTCAACTATGAGCTTTCAATAGCGAGAGTGAGAGACAAAGAAAAGGAAGAGAGCGGACCATGCAGAACATGAGAGATGAAGTGTGCAAGGTCAAGGACAAAAGCTCTATTTATACTTTTTTACTTTTTTGCAGTTAGATAAAGCATCCACTATGCAGTACACAGCACACACATACACATACACACACACAACCGCACAACCACACACACTCACAGTCAAATCGTAGTCATAAGAAGTGAAAAATTAGAATCACAAGCGCAAACAAAGCAATGCAAATCCACAGACAGGTCGTATTTCTATATTTGTATATATTTCTATACATGTAGCATATGTATGTATGTATATTCACGTAAAAAAACAGACTTGAAATTTCAATTGAAATTAACTGCTCCAAGCACTTACGAACTGCGCTATATGGCTCATAATTGGCGCTCTGACGGTAAGTGAAATTTCTGGGTTGTCACTTAAGTAAGTATTATTGCAAATGTTAAAGCAAGCTGCCGTTTCGCACGATGGAACAGTTATGCCTCCCCCTAAATAAAACAAAAAAAAAATGTTCACTCGTCACAGGAGAACACGTTGCGCACTTTTGACCAACGTCAATATACTGAATCAATCCGTATAATTTTCCCGTTGGCTGCGTTGCTAGCTTTGCTGTTTGCTGGACGCTAGGCTGGCCCCGACTTTGATTGCGTTCACCCGCAGCTCCCTGTGTGTGCGAATACTGAGAGTGCGAGCGGTGAGCGCCGGTAGGCCACGTGCAGCATAAGCAGCATTCTGCCAGATACACAAACAACTGCAGACATGCTACTTGCTTTTGTTGCCTTTACCTCAAATAGAATATACTGCTGCGAAGCGAAAAAGCGCCAAAAAAGAGAGCGATACAGAGAGCGAGGAATGAGAGTAGGGCAGCTAGTTGGAATGCTCAGCAGGGAAAGAAGAGCAGAACTACAGCAGCGTATGGGCTTTTTACTCGCGCAACAGGTTAATTAGTCGAATTGTGCGCTACAGCACTCGGCATATAAGATGCCATGAAAGCTTTATCAACAGCAAACTTCACGCTTAGAGAAAGTCATGCGCACAGCCGCTCAAGTCAAACCAAACGGAGGTAGCGCATTTGCTCTCTCTCTCTCTCTCTGTCTCTCTCTCTCTCTCTCTCTCTCTCTTTCTAACGGTCCAACTGATAGGAAAGTCAAAACAATGCAACAATTTCTGCACACTTTCACTGCAATACAGGAGCTTAAAGCTTCAGCCAATGTTAACGCAAGCTTTTTTCTATGTCGTTTATGCCAACCGAAGCTTATTCCATTTTAAGTTGTGGCATTTTTCAGGCGTGCGAAAAACTCTAAGGTTGTTTCGGAAAATTTTAATTAAATTCTTATACACCTATACCAATACAGAAAGCGAAGTGAAAATTGCATAAAAGGTGTGATTAATCGAGTTAAACTTGCCTATTAAGCAGCAGGTAAGAAACTAATTAAACATGTTTGATATATCGGAGTCCTTGAACAGTGCTGAAAAAATTGTGTATCCATTGAGAAAAGGTGTCCGCCTGTTTAACACAATTTCGATACATAGTTGGATTTGTATCTTCTAGTACCGAAAAATACACTTGACTGCAAAAGTATACTTTAAAATTTGATGCTACTTCATATTCCAGTTAAATTTTACTGCATAATAATTTGAATAAATGATATTTTATTTTATACACACATCTTTTTAAGTGCTTGTTACCTTGAAAATTTAGTTTTATAACAGTTATAAATGCATGTTGCACCAAGTTGTTTTAGTTGTGGACACAGATGTAGTCGCTCTGCCTTGTGCAACAAGGAAAAAGCTTGCGACTGTCAAGTAGGGGGTGGCACACAATGAAATGAGAGCTGACCGCCCGCTTATATGTCTGAAAAGTATTAAATTAAAATGAAATTGCATTATGCTAATGGGGCTCTCTTCAAGGAAAGTAAGTGCAAGCCTTGGCACATGCTCAGTGTACACACAATCGACCTCCGGGAACGTAGACGAGACAACAACTGAGTGAAGGAAAATCCAGCAGCCACTCAAGCCTGCTCTGGGGGGTAACAGGAGGCGTATTTTTATAGGCCAGTGGGTGGGTAGCACACGTAAAAGGAGGACAACAGGCAGACGGCTGCATATACACATATAAGTGCACGTTGAACTTGAACAACGTTTTGCATTTCGCTTAACGCTGACATCACGAACAAGCTGAAACCATGAATTTTAATATTTCTACACCCACTGATATCGATCTTAGTTAACTTAGTAGTGACCTGGTATTAATAATATTAATTGAACTGGCTGAAATCGAAACTTTATGCTTCAAATAGGTTTGGTCAACAGCGCTCAATTAAACATAGCCAGAGCGAACTATCGCACGCAATATGGCGTGTCCTTTCTTTCGTCGCGCCGACTCGCTGGCGCGCCAGCCATCGGTCACTGTGGAGCCGGGTGCTCATTGGAACTTGGAAGACGAAGACCTGTCGCTGTCAGGCGATGCTCTAACTTTGACCCATCTGCAGATGGCCATACAGCTGCTGACAGCACCTTCGAATGAGGATCTCAACTCGGCAGTCACCTCACTGGTGGCCAAGTACCGACAGAGTTGGCCAAACATTCATAAGCTGTGAGTTGCAAAAGCTTTCACCGCTGGAGAGATACGTTAATTGAAACCATTATTTCACAGTAAGCTGGATCCCAAGTTCTTCAAAAACTGCACCAACTATGATTATTTGGCAGACATTCAGGAGTTGCTCTTGAAGATGGACGAGGCCAGCGCCAGTGAGATTCTTGTTCTACTTGGCGAGGAGCTGATCACGTGCTGCTGCACTGGCATCATCGAGCGAGCTTTCCGTTGTCTAGGCACCGATCTTCAGGAGTTTTTGGGCTCGCTGGACGGGGTATACGATGTTCTAAAATTGCAAGAGGTTAGTACATTCCAGATACTTGTCATAAAGCTTGACAAATGTGTTCCTCTCCTTGCTCAGGACGATGTTACCGATACGGGCTTCGTGTGCGCGGGCGATGGCGAGTTGATCTTCACCTCGGAACGACCGGTAATAGCCTGGCTATTGCTTGGCTCCCTCAAGGCCCTGACTCGCATGCTATACAAGGTGGATGTGAACATTAAAATTGAACCGGTGGAGGGTGATGCGCGTCGCTATCGTTATTTGTTCTCCTTGGTCAAGGACAGCTCTCAGACATTGCAGATGGAGCGACCTGAAGAGACCAGCAAATTGCTTGAGAAAGTGCAGCGCAGCAACTCGGCGAATGCTTCCGATCTGCAAATGAACTCGTCAAGCTTCTGCAAGATGTTTCCCTGGCACTTCATCATGAACGAACAGCTGGAACTGGTGCAGCTCGGACGGGGCTTCAGCAAGCTCTACAAGCCGTATCTGACGGACTTCGGCTGCCAGGCTACCACCTACTTTGATTTTAAGCGGCCCAAAGGCTTGACCATGAAATTCCGAGAAATAGTGCGGCGCACCTACACGCCCTTTCTAATTGGGCTAAACAGCCCGCCGGGAGTATCCGATTTTCCTGCTATCGGATTGGAGATTAAGGGCCAAATGGTACACTGCCCTGAATCGAACTCATTGCTATTCATTGGCTCGCCCTTCCTGGACGGCTTGGATGGTCTGACCTGCAATGGGCTGTTCATCTCTGACATTCCATTGCACGATGCTACACGCGAGGTGATCTTAGTGGGTGAGCAAGCACGTGCTCAGGATGGCCTACGTCGCCGCATGGACAAGCTGAAGAGCAGCATTGAGGAGGCTAACTCGGCAGTAACTAAGGAGCGCAAGAAGAACGTCAGCCTCCTGCACTTGATCTTTCCGGCAGAGATTGCCGAGAAATTGTGGCTGGGCTCTTCTATTGATGCCAAGACCTATCCGGATGTGACCATACTCTTCAGCGATATTGTTGGCTTTACCAGCATTTGCTCCCGGGCTACGCCTTTCATGGTCATCAGTATGCTAGAACGTTTGTACAAGGACTTTGATGAATTCTGCGACTTCTTTGACGTGTACAAGGTGGAGACCATTGGAGATGCTTATTGTGTGGCAAGCGGATTGCATCGGGCCTCGATCTACGATGCCCACAAGGTGGCCTGGATGGCGCTCAAGATGCTCAGCGCTTGCTCCAAGCACATTACACACGATGGTGAACAAATCAAAATGCGCATCGGTCTGCACACTGGCACGGTGCTCGCGGGTGTAGTTGGTCGCAAAATGCCAAGGTACTGTCTGTTTGGGCACAACGTGACCATTGCCAATAAGTTTGAATCGAGCAGCGAAGCGTTGAAGATCAATGTTAGCCCAACAACAAAAGAGTAAGTTGTTCTCTAATTTGCTAGTAGACTCGATTGACCATTTACATATCCATTTAGTTGGCTAACCAAGCATGACCGCTTTGCCTTTGATCTGCAACCACGCGATCCCTCCTGCTTGCCAAAGGAGTTTCCCAATTCGAATGGCAACGGCACCTGCTATTTCCTGGAGAGCTTCCGCAACCCGACACTGGACAGCAACCTGCCGCTGGAAGAGCATATTAATGCAGCCATGAAGACCATATCTGAGGGCGGCGATGCCTAAACATCTATAGAATCACTTGCTCAGTAGCCACTTAAACATAGTTCAATGCACATGTAGTTTAATTTCGTTGCCCCCTTATGTAGCCTTTAAACAAATTAAATAAACTATTCGTCAACGTGTTTGCCTTCAAGCACAAATAACATTTATTGAGCTTAAGCGGAGGCAGCTGCCGCAGCCTGCTTGGCCTTTATGTAGGCCCTGACCCTTTCGCCGATCTTGCTGGCCATCATGCACTTGTGTCCGCGGAAAGCCCACACGTCCGCTGGGCTCTTCTCGGGATTGCTGTCAATGCAGCCCTGAGCAATTTGCAACGCCTCCTCCTCGGTGAGATCCATCTTAAACTGCTTAGCCAGGCGATCTGCATGGTAGCCTTCGTGAGTGCAGAAGATATCCAGCTTAGTGGCAGTGCACAGTAAATATTGGCGCACTTCGGGCTCGTCCGGAAACTCAGTTTGCTTCAACTTGTTGATCTGTTCCTGGTTCAGGGGATGCGCCTTGAAGCATTCGGCGCGAATCTCCTTGATTTCATTTGCAGTTTTGGCCACCCATTCTTCATTAGCATAGGCCTGTTTTATTTTGTTTGTGTTAATTAATCAAGCTGTTTTGGAAATTTAAACTAATGCCACTTGTTACAGACCAATGTGCACAGCGCCAGGCAAACGATCAGATACTTGAACATGTTCAATACTTTCGAGTCGCAGTTAAAGATTTAAACTAAATGGTCTGAGGCTGCTTAGACTATATATATAGCTACCTCTCGGCGAAGCCCATAGTCCAGCTTTTATGTTCGACGGCATGAAATGTGTCAAAAGTTCAGCGATAAGCAATACAGCTAGACCGTAGCTACATACACATATATGTATATGTAAGTGTATATGTATATATTTCACAACATGTGAAAGCATTTAAATATACTAGTATTTATTTGCATTCCCAATAGGTGATAAGTTTTATTCTGACTCGCAATCATGGTCGAGCTTAGTATCTTGAACACTTTTATTTGTAAACAATAACAACTATTACGTATTATCACCAAAAGTTAAGTGACCTTTTCAGGCCGTTTAACATCATTCTTTATTAGACTCCCTTACAATCACATATTCCAAACTGACCTCGCCCTTCGCATCTTATCATCTCCACAGATGTGGTCGGACGAACCTATACATATATATATATATATATACATATATATATATAAGTGTGTGTAAGACTGCGGTATTAATAATCATAATCTGATTTTTATATAACTCAACATAATTAAATTACGACATTACTTTACACTATGACATTATATAAATAATTCTTTACAATTTAATGTTGTGCTTGAAAATATTCTACCAATTCATTTCATACAACCGTTTTATATTTTGAAAAATTCCGCCTTAGCGGCGATTTATTATCAACTAATTGTATTTGTATTTAGTTATCGCTAGAGGCTCGATACACGCCAACTATAATCGACAACTCACCACGATTTATCGACCGGCAGCCGTTACAGTTCTTTAAGCAAAATGGAAAACCTAAAGAGTCGTCGATAAATATTATTGCAGAACAGCTGTTCACTAATCGCTCTGTTATCATTGGCTTAAAAGCATTTAAAACAATTATTTAAGTTTAAGTATCATTGCCATCCACCATTCGGTTAGTTCATATTAAATTTGCTTCAATTACACTTATAATTTGCTATTAAACATTTCAAATCTTTTTTTTGTTCAAAATGTTAAATGAGTGTCCAAATTTACGTTAAAAAATCAGTGCTTGCTGTTAATAACATTTTGGCAAATGCTAAAACATTTAGGTGACCACAGTTGCCTCATTGGTCAGTGTTGGGTAGAAACTCAATAGTACCAAAATAAGAAATTTTCGACAAGAAAAACCCTGAGGAAATGAAAATTATTATCAAATATACATTTCGTTAGCTGATACCCAAAAGCTAGCAATGTGAACGAATCATTGTTAGTGCTGGTTTGTCAGTTAAGTCAATGACACCTATAAATGTTGTCTAATCTAGCGCCCCATCGATTTTTTCTGTTCCAAGTGATTGCGAGTCTGCATGCGTATTTTCTCTCTCACGGTTAAAAATTCCTCAAGACATATCTAGGTTTCCAATAGCATTCGATAGAAGGGTTTGAACATCCACACGAACATGACAAACATCGATCACGTTGCCCTGACTTTGTCCCCAACGTCCATCACAAGCATAACAGGCGGAGTTGGCGGCGATGAAAGTAATCTTTCCCGCAAGAGTTTGCGACGGGTAAGTTTGGCCTCAATTCCATTAATAGGAAAGAATTAGACAGAGAATTAACATATATTAGAGTCGCTGGAACAACCATTGCATTAGCAATGATTAGCACATATGTATACGACTCGATCACTAAGTAAGCTTACGTGTCTCATTTTGAGTTTTTATTTGTGTTTGTGATTTGTAATTACAGTCATGGAATCAGTTACCCCGATGTCAACGTAATCTCATTATAATGGCCCTCACAGCATTTATCTTCACCGCTTTGCTGTTTTTGCCTGGCGACCAGCTAATTAACCTAAAGGATATTCGTTTAAAGCCCGCAGCGGCACCATTTCATATACGACGCGAGAGCACGCTACAGAATCCCCATCACCACCCAAGCATTGAGAAGGAGAACGAACTACCCGGCGATATTTCGGCAGCTGTCGCATCCCCTATGACGGATGAAAGCCGCCTAATAAAAACGAAGCCGGCAGAAGATAAGGTAGACTATCAATTAACAAATTAAATTTTCAAGTACCCTATCGGCTTCAGATATCAGTATCAGTATGTATGAATGTGTTCCCACACAGACACATACCTGTACATGTCGGGGGCGCGACTCACTTGAAATGCCATTAGCGCAGCCCAACTGGAGCTGATAACAATGACAATAAGCACTTTACGATTATATGCTTCAATTTATTGACTCCTGGATTTTTTAAAAGATTTAATTGTATTTTTATTACAGTTGGACGGCGGTGTGGCATATGCCGACGCCAATTTTGCGGAAAATGTTGCCAAACTTCCGGAAACTGTGGCCGTTGGCAATGTCAATGGGATAATCGACATACTCAACAATGTGGAGCAGCCCATTGAACAAAATTTGGAAAATACCATCAGCGACACCTCGAATTTACGTTCCGAACTGGAAGAGGCTATTCGACAGCCCTTTAAATTATCCCAAGTTAGCATTGAATCGCATCTGGAGAGTATGGACACACAGCTAGCGAAGGCTCAGCATTTCCATGGTGCCACCAATGAGCGCCAGTCTGCAGTTGTGGCAGCCTTCAAGCACTCCTGGGCAGGTTATAAGAAGTACGCCTGGGGCCATGACAATCTAAAGCCAGTATCCCAAACCGCACACGAATGGTTTGGTCTAGGACTGTCAATCGTCGATTCTCTGGACACTATGTACATCATGGGATTAGAAGACGGTAGGCATTCAATACATTTCTATTATTATTGCATTTCTATAAGCAATTCCTCTGCTTCTACAGAGTTCAATGAGGCGCGCGATTGGGTAAAAAATTCTTTACATTTCCATACAAATCGCGATGTGAACCTTTTCGAGGTAACCATACGGGTTCTAGGCGGACTTCTGTCTGCTTATCATTTGAGCGGCGATAAAATGTTTTTGGTCAAAGCGACTGAGCTGGGTAATCGCTTACTGCCCAGTTTCCTTTCGCCATCGGGCATACCCTATTCGGATGTTAATCTTGGCGAAAGATCTGCCCATTCGCCAAAATGGTCTCCGGATAGCTCAACCAGCGAAGTGACGACCATACAGCTGGAGTTCCGTGATCTGAGCCGCTCCACTAATGTTCCTATTTATGAACGTGTAAGTTCTAATCATTTGACAACCGATTAAACTATTAATTGTCTTATCTAACTTGTAGGTGGTAAATGTAGTAAATGAAAAAATACACGCACTAGATAAAAGTCATGGTCTTGTGCCAATATTTATCAATGCTAACACGGGCACCTTCAGGAATTATGCTACAATCTCATTGGGTGCACGTGGCGATTCGTATTATGAGTACTTACTTAAGCAATGGCTGCAAACGGGTCGCAAGGATAACGACAAGTAAGTGAACAATAACTTTACATATATAAAAGATCTATTAACCTATCCTGCACTCCTCCTTTTTAGCCTTATTTTGGACTATATGCAGGCAATCGATGGCGTCCTCACGCAATTGATGCGACGCACGCCACGCGAACATTGGGTGTATATTGGAGAGCTGATAAATGGTCATGATTTTAAACCAAAAATGGATCATTTGACATGCTATTTGCCTGGAACACTATTGCTTGGTCATCAGAATGGCATGCCCGACTCGCATCTACTGCTCGCCAAAGATTTGCTAGACACCTGCTATCAAACGTATCTCAGGCAGCCAACTCAATTGGCAGCTGAGATATCATACTTTGCGCTGAACGACAAGGAAGAAAATGATATATATGTGAAGTCGAATGATGCTCACAATTTGCTAAGACCCGAGTTCATTGAAAGCTTGTATTACTTCTATGCACTAACCGGCAACCGCAGCTATCAGGATATGGGCTGGAACATTTTCCAGGCCTTTGAAAAACATTCAAAAGTAGCTGCCGGGTACACATCGCTGGGCAATGTGAAAAATACTCTGAACACACGAATGCGCGATCTCATGGAAAGCTTCTGGTTAAGCGAGACTTTAAAATACTTTTATTTGCTATTTAGTGACAATCGCAAGGAGATAGACCTTGATAAGTGGGTCTTCAACTCGGAGGGTCACCCGCTGCCGGTGTATCACCAGTAATTGTACATAAGCAACCAAATTGCTTCATCGTTACCAACTAAGATAGTTTGTAGGGTTTGATAAACAGCGGAAAATATAAGAATTTGGCAGTACTCTTTTAGTCGTAGTGTAGCGCAAATGCCAAATATTATGCCAAGCTTAGGATGCAAAAGTAAATTAAAGCACTTGGCCAAAAAAAAAAAAAACAAAAAAATTAAGATATTCAAGATAACATAAAGAAAAAAACATGTCTATGATTTGTATGATATTCGTACTGATTTAGCACATTATTATTACTATTACAATTATTATTATTTATTTATTAAATTATTTACTTAATATAAGCATGGAATTTATGTTACACCCAATATTCTGGTACACTAACTGCCACCGTGTTGATAAATATAATTAGTAATAATGTCATACGATATACATAGCATATAGTAATATATAATTGGTAGGTACTTAGTACACGTGTATGTTATAGTTCCCAATATGATATTCAATTTGCAAACACAGAGCACACACACAATACGTTGTTTAGTAAAATAAAATACAAATAGTCTGTTTTCTAAATAAACAAACAATATAATATAACTAAAAAAGATTGGATAATATTAAGATACTTACTTTTGAGCAGCTGAAAGGAATTCTGCAAACTTAGGATAATGAAAGACGTTGATTTAAAATTTTCCGAATTTTTTTTATTCTTATGAATACGTATTTTTCATTTTTTTTGTTTTGCGTACGATTTGCACTTGCACCCAACAACATGCTTTAAATTTGATTGCATTTTTGTGTGGGTTTTGGTTTATTTTGTAAAGTTTCGTTTCTGTTTCAATTCGGATTCATGTTAATTGTTGCGTTTTTTAATACGATTATGTACTTAATGTTTATGACGACTATGAATGGATGGGCTTAATAAACTATGAAATATTAAACTTGCTTGAGAGAATACTCTTCCTCTTCTTCATTTTTAAGTTGATGCTGTAATTAAAACTCACAATGTTGCATTAAAAATCTTTGTTTTCTTATTACTTTTTCGTTTCTCATTAAATTACATTTAGACACATTTAGCTGAACAATTTATTATACGATATTGGGTTTTGCTTTCTTCACTTACTTTTGTTTTTGGTTTTTTCGGGGAAAGAGGTTCTGTTGAAGCCGATTTGGAGATTAGAATAGAAATTGAAACAATGGGTATATAAGTTGTAAATGATACCATATAATCAATAAGTTTAATTGAATTGGGCTCCTAGCGAGTGATAAGTTCTGTTTGCATTTGTTTCCTTCGGCAGCTATGTATATATATATATATACATATATATATATATATATTATCGAATGCAATTTTCCTTGACTAACTTAATTTTTAGCTATTACATATAAATTTTTACACAATTATTTCATTATTTGTCTTTGTATAACAACTAGAAAGTGTTGCCTGCGCGCGCATCTGCTTTACAATTCAATACAGAGAGAGGAGCTGGAGTAATTCGGGATCTAAGCCAATTAACGCGATATAGTAATACATACATACAAGTGAATGGTACCGGTACCATTCGAAGATTTACTTAAAAGCTAAATGTTTAGTCACATCCCATACTAATAATTAGTGTGGTCTTGTTTTACTCTTCATTTATTGTAGTTGGTTGTTCTTGTTGTTGTTGTGGTGGTGGTGTTAATAGTAGTTGTTGGTTTTATTGTAAGTGTAATTGGTATGGATTAATACGTGATACGGACGACTGACTATTTGAGTCGAACACTTTCTGCTTAGTTGTGTGAATCATATGCGTGGCTTCCTAGCATTTACAATATTTGGATTAAGTTCGTAGTTGTGGTTTCTTACGGATTATGGATTCAAGTATCTGTTCTATGTTATATTACAAGCTAATCAGACATCGATATTTAAAACGTGGCACAAATCACAAATCAGATTTGTGTCAAGATCAAGATCAAGATACAATGATACGATTCATTTAATATTTTTTTTATCTTTTCGGCTTTTTTTTGCTTTTCTTTTTTGTGGTTTCATTATTGCATTGATGTACAATATACACACATGCACTCTCAATGCATTCATAAGTATATAATTAATTATTTATAAATGTTTTAAACTAAATTTGCTAAAATTGTGATTTTATACTTTTGAACTGCTTTTGGTTTGCTTCGTTTGTCGTTTTGTCATTTTTCGGAGTCGTCTGACCCGTGGAACTCCCTAAGACTTTCATAGGCTTTGCTGATGTCACCCGTAGTCAAAGCCGAGTTGGCTAAGAGCTTTCTAATTAAAATTGAGCACATTATTTATTCGAATTATTTATGCATGCATGCGTAGATTATTCTCAGTGTGTTTCTGTTTGTTAGCTCAGAAGCAGAAAGACTTTAAGCGTATTTCAAATGATAATAATTTAAATTGCTTAAATTGAATTTTTTAAATTATTTTTAATTTATTTTACGTATTCTTGCATGCCTTTTTTTACACATTTATACACTAAGAGCAAATCCTTTTATTAAAAACTGCAATTGTTGAAACTGGCGCATGCATTACACAAATATATATATAAATATACATATATATATATATATATATATATATATATATATATATATATGTATATTTATGCTTAATAATAAATAATTTAATATATATTTATTTATTATGTATACATATATTTGTAATGTATATTGAATTTGTGTTGTTGAATTTCGTTTGTTCTCGATTCAACAGAATTGGCAACATTGTTACAATTGTTTAGCATAAATCTAATTACGAATTTCGAATGCTCTTCCTGCTAGCTTACTTAACTTTGAATTATACAACCAATTCTCGTCCTTTGTTCAGTTTCACATACTTTTGCAAGCCGACCCTTAGTTTTGAATTCTGGAAATGTGTTATGCTTAGACTCGACCCAATTAATTGATTTTCAACAAAACATATTTTTAATATAGATTTAAAGCCATAATGTCGAACTTTTCTTATCAGATTAGATCACGTTGTTTGAAATGCTTCACTTTTTTTATAAGTTTCCAGAGTCTTGTGAAATTTCCGGACAATTTAACTGAGTTCCATTTGAAAATTATTGCGTCTGCAAGCGTATTCAATCTTCGGCATGCCAAAGTAATTTTTTCTTGTTAGTTCCTTGTTTATATTTCTTAGCTTGGTTTACGTTTCATTTCTTTCCTTCATAGTAAAGATATAATTTTAATAAATTGTCTAGGCATTTTCACTTATTTATTGTATCTATATAATTTGTATTACATTAGAATTCATTCAGTGTACTTCTCTAAGAAGCATTTCATGCTATTCGTCGTTTTGTTTTCAATTCTCCGCGTTAATTGCTTTTGACTATTGACTTTTAAGGACCTGTTGTCCCATAAGAATGCTCTTGATTGGATGACTACAAATTTATACAAATAATTACCAGACTGCTTTATCTTTTATCTTGTAGCTTTAAATATTGTACAAACACATTGGACTAAAAACGAAAACAAGAATAATTACAATTTACGCTACACTTTCAACTTAGATCTAAAATAAACAAATAAATTGTACAGAGCAGGGTGAAAAAATGTGGCAACTGTTGCCGAAAGCATTCAGCACAGTGGACAACTAAAAAGAACAAATAACATGCAATAAAGGGTTTAATGTACAATCAATGTCGTGTTGCCTTGCGCAGCTTTACAAGGTGGTGGCGTTAAATTCCAGTATAAGACTGTTGGCTAATGTTGCCGTTGCCGCCGACTGCAGCTCAGCTGCTGTGCTTAGCGGCGCATTGGTTGCAGATGTTGTGACTGCTTGCAGCCCAAGTCAAGAGGTCATAATCGACTTGACGGCTTCGTCCAGGCCAGCGGCCACACAGCTAAAGTCATTCAGCTGCGAATGATGCTGAGACTGCGTCTGCGATAGGCCATGATGGTGTTGCGTATGATGCTGCAGATGCGGCTGCTGTTGACCCAGGTGACCTTGCAGTAGCTGCTGCTGCTGTTGCTGTTGATGATGGTGATGGTGATGATGATCCAGCAACAAGTTGCCGGTGGCATCAGGCACAGCATTTACAACTGGGCCACCACCGCCACTGATTAGACAATCGCCCATGTCCTCGCCAAGCTGACGGCGCCTGCTATTCACCTGCTCCTGTTGGCAGCTGGGCAAGTTTGTCGCTTGCCGTTGATCGTCTAGTATACTGTCGCCCAAGAACGAGCCCAATGAGAACTGCAGCGAATCGCCGCTGTTCTGCAGGTTCAGTATGCTATCAATCGCGCTAGCAACGTGTCGGCTAATGTCGTCGTCAAATTCGCCTGTCACCACAGAAGCACCACCCATGTGATTCACATGCATTTGCGGCTGCTGAGGTTGCTGCAGCTGCTGCTGCATATTGTGCTGATAATGTTGATGCTGCTGCTGCTGCTGTTGTTGCTGCTGCTGTTGTTGTTGCTGCTGTTGCTGTTGTGGATCCAACATATTCGCGAAAGCCTGATGATTGGCAAAGCTATGTTGCTGCTGCTGTTGTTGTTGCTGCTGTTGCTGTTGTTGCTGCTGCTGCTGCTCCATCAGCAACTGGGAAAAGGCAGCGGGACCATTAGTGGTTACGCTATCTACCCCCATGCCATCATGTAAAGCTAACATATCCGCATCCAACATGCCGTGTTGTGGTACCTGCACATGCTGCTGCGAGGACATCGGCGAAGAGGACGTTGATGAAGCTGTACACAACCGTTTGCTGCTATTTTCATCCTCCAAGTCACTGCTTGAGCCCATCAATTGACCATTCCAATGGCGCTTGCGTGATTCCCCATTGACTAGCATATTGTGTGTTTGGCCATCAACTGTGCTGGTGCTGCTGGAGATATAGTCGGAGTAGTGGGCCTCCATGCTTTGCATCCAGCGAGGATTGTTGTTGCAGTTGAGCTCGATATGGTGCTGCTGCTGT